AAGGAAGGAAGGAAGGAAGGAAGGAAGGAAGGAAGGAAGGAAGGAAGGAAGGAAGGAAGGAAGGAAGGAGAGAGAAAATGGGGGCATAATCAGGCCTGTTTGATTAATCCCTCTCTTCAAGCCTTTGGGAAATCCAGGTGGAGAAGAGGGGCTATGTTTCTGCAGAGCATTCACTCTCCCCCCTCCTCTTCCCTCTCCAGGTTTTGAAATTTCTGAGAACCAGAAACGACAAGCAGCCATGACCGTAAGAAAAGTCAGTAAGCAGAAAGGTAATTCCCTCTGTGTATGGTGGGCAGTGAGTGGACAGCAGTTCCTCCCCCTGAGTGCCGCCTCCCTTTTCCTGTCCCGTCCTTTCTTCTGTGCCCCTTTCAGTACCTGCAGGTTATGATGGCAGTTGAGCCCAGAATTTCCATTGCTAAGCAACACTGTTGTCAAGCACGAAGGCCTGTGACCCCATTGTTTAGGGATGGCAGTCCCAGTCGCTATGGTAACCCAGAGACCCTGTGGGGCATTAAGAGAGGACCTCATGTGATCAAAGTTCCAGAGAAACAGGCCAGCGGGGGAGGGGGAGAATTGTGCCCAGGTGAGGGGGGGGGTCAGTGGGGGCTGGGGTATTCCTGAATCATGTCTTAACCCAATATGTAGTTGAGACTTCAGTTCCCAAATGGCTGGGCGGAGGTTTTAGGAATGGTAGACCTGCTGCATGAGGGGCCCTTGGTGCTCTCTGAGCTCGGTGCTTGTCTTGCAGATGTTTCATTACCTAAATTAGGTAACATCATCCGCTCTAGTCAGTTACTCAACCCTAGTACTGATGAGGTTGCCTAGTTTGGGTAATGAAATGTCTGCAAGAAAACCAAGCTCAGAGAGCTCCTCCTCCCCCTTCTCAGCCTCCTTCTCCTTCCTCTTGGCAAACCCCCTCCCTTCTAGCACCGATGAGATTGCCTAGTTTGGGTAATGAAACATCTGCAAGAAAACAACCAAGCTCAGAGACCACCACCAACTCAATGATGTTGTGTGAAGATGTTGGACTAGGAGTAAGGAGACCCAACGCCATGGAATCCCTTGAGTGACTTTGGGCCAGTTCCCCTCACTTAGCCCGACAGCCTGCTGGGTGTAGTGGTGAAAGTGTTGGACTAAGAGAGGGACAAACTAAGCTTCTGGTCTCCCCTCAGCCATGAGGACCCTCTTTCAGCCCAGCCCACTTCCTAGACCTAGATATTTCGAGGGGAAATGGGAGGAGGGAGTCCTGTGCCCACTTTCCTGTCCCAAAGGCAGGATATAAATCCAGAAGTAAATACACAGACTGAATTGTCTCCTGGACAATTGATTATTTTGTAAGAAACACAGGAGAAGAGATGCCAGATAAGTTGCTCGCCTCCTGCAGGGCAGGTGAAGCCATCAGAAGCGGCCTTACAGCAGAACAGATAATGGACAGCCAAGCTCAGCATTTGTGAAAATTGGACAATCGCAATCGTCCCCCCCAAACTCCCAGCAAGAGATCAGGCAGTCACTTGATCCATTTTGATGGGGAAATCTACAAGCTTTGAAAGGCAAACAAAGCTGCATTCCATTAAATAACACTTCGGTTCTAATATCTGGCAAAGTTCCTATCAGCCATATCCCATCTAATTCTCTGTCTGTCTTTGTCTCTCTAGGTAGTTGGGCTACCAATTGGGACTAAATTCTTTCTGGTCTGATCAACAATGGATCAAATGGTGCTATAGCTTTGGCTCCTCTTCCTTGTGATCTGGCTGTGATAGGGTTTCCTGGTGCTCAGGATAAACGGATCGGGTCAAATGGCAGCAACATGTTTAGCCTTTTTTGGATTTGGGGAGTGGAGGTTGAAGGGCAATATTGGTACCTTAAAGTCTCTGTTTTACCTCTTAAGCCCCCTGAAACTTTCTGGTTTTGGATTGCTGGCTTCAAAGTATCACTTGCATGGCCTTCAAACGAAGACATTTGGTGTAAGATTAAAGGAAGGAATTAAAAAGGCCCAAAAGAATCTTCTGTATGAGAAGATGGTTCACATTCAGAAAAAGGTTCAGATTTTGCCTAACATAATTTAAATGGCTCAACACAATTCTGGTTGCTACAATACACTGAACTCCAGGCATAATGGATAGCCATCCTCTTGATCTTTGTCAATCTTGCCAGTGATAGGCTGGCTGAGATTGATGGTGGGGTTCCTGTCTTCTCAAGGGCATCAGATACTGTAAGTAAGGCTGTTTTACACCTTCATCTAGAGAAATATTGAGTACTTAATTGCATTTATCTGCTTAACTTCGCAATTCTCCCTGATTATCTTGATATCTCTGTGGACCCCTTGGAAAATGGTGGTGTCTTATTGAACTAGACTTCTTTGAATTTAAATTAATTGATTTCTCTCACCACCCTCTTCCCATCCCTTCCTTGTGCAGCCCTGGCTGTTTCTGAAGAATTGGAAATTGCCTTTCAGGAAACCATTCTTCT